CCCGAGAATAAGGGAAATTAGGATTTATGGAGGAAAGGAGCTCCTTTGCTCGCGTTTCCCACCACGCAAAGCAATTTCGGGTTTTTCTTGGAACACTAAGGCAATAAAGAACATGGGAAAGATCGTTTCCTCTATTGTGCCAGAATTTCATTTTTCACACTTTAGACAACAAAATTGTGTTTTACTTGGAATTTTCAGGGAAAAAACATTTACTGTGAAGATGCTCGCCGATGACATGAAAAAATACTTGAAAAACTTTTTCCTCGTTCCCAGATTCCACGTGCGTCCCGAATCTTATTCAAGCAAATACTCTTTCATGAAATTAAGGACAAGCAAGGGAGACTAAATCAGAAGAAGGTCAAGTCCACAAGAGCACTTTCTGTAATGTCACAGAGTTATCTCATAACTGATGAGGAATTACCACAGTCAGCTGAGCTTACCATCTGCTTTCATTTCTCCCCTTTCCTCCTATTACTATTTTTCAGGTGTCCTTCATTTATTTAGGACTCTTTGGGATTCCTGTCGCGAGTAAACACTAAATTGCTGATGACGTTGCTTCCTCGCTGGAAAATAAGATCCACCTGTTGGCAAATGTTATTGCTCTTCGTGCTTACAATCTTTTTCTTCATCCTGAGGGAGCAGGTGATTTCCTCTCTCGAAAGAAAAGTCTCATTCACGTTGGCATCCCAATGGAAAGTATCTCCTCGGGACAAAAAAAAAAATCCATCCGACATCTACTTTTCTGGAAGATAAATCTTGCAGCCTTCCTCATTCCGTCTCCCTTGTTGATGTTCGTCCTCGTATTTCTTTCGAGCTGCTTCGGGTCTCTTTCGAAATGCAACTCACTCGGAATGCGCATTTTCGCAAAATCGCTTCGGCCTCGACCCGCATCCTTAATACACTCATCGTTAATGAAGCTTTTTCTCTTTCGCTGCAGCAAAATGGTTCTAGAAACGATTTGGTTAAATCCGCGATTGATCACCCAATCTCGGATATAAGCATCTACACTTCGGGGCACTTCCTCCATTATTCGTTTCTCCATAGAATTGAGGCACCTTTAAATGTTTAGCACGAATCGTCTAGATAGATGCATCAGACAGCCTTCTTCTTAAACTCCGTCGCGACTCGGCCGCCGTCTTTTTACTTTCACCCTTTTATTCGTCTTTATCCTTTTCTCCCCCCTCTGCTTGTTCGCGTCGAACCTCGCAACTTTGGACCCAGGCATCCCCCTCAGCTATTCCCTTCTTTTCGGACTCGGGCGATCGGAAAGAGGAGCGGAGGAGACACTTCTTCCCTCGTAGAACGGGACCCCGATTCAACCACTTTCGTGTCTCTTCTTTCCTTCGACTCTCGAAAGTTTCAAAGGAAACACTCTTCGCGTCTCGGCACGCAGCGTCTGAAATGGGGAGAGGAACTCTCGGAGAATGCCAACGAAGTGCTGGTGCTTTCCTGTGGGAATAAGAAATAATAGAAGCTAAACATAAGGACCTTGAAATGCTTTCACTCCTTGCGAGATATAAGCAGTGCGATGAATAATGAAATTGCGTTTCTCTGTGCTTATTTACTTTTATTCCGAAAAATGAACACCAATAAATTCAATGTATTCATCCTCCAGATCCTTCAGAAATATGGGGGAAGTCTAGTTATTTTTTTTAGGACAGAAATTACTCCACAAAATGAAGCTGAATTTGACTCAAACTCCATGCATGTCTCTGTCATTGGCTTCGATGTTTGTGCATTAATTTTCTTGCTTAATTTTCGTTCCGCGCCGCATTTAACCGGAAGCGGGAAATATCATTTCACTCTTTCGAATGGCTGAAGGGACGTGTTCGAGGATCTAACAAGTACTTTAACTACGAAGAAACTACGAAGACTGAGCGATGAAATTTGGCACTATGGTGCAACCTTGTATCGGTACCTGGAAAATCAGCATTTTGTTTAAAAGTTTTCTGCGTTAAGCCAGGATAGAGTCATTTTTCCGATGGGGTTGTACCGAAAATTTAAGAAAATAAAGAAATTTCTGAAAATGTCATAGACCTATCAGCAAGGTAATTAAAACGGGCATTCGATGTAGAATAAAAAAGTGTAAAACGGTAAATCCAGAGTTAAATTTTTGAGCGGGAACGTAAGTCCGCTGAAGCACGAACGACTCGCGATCCGATCGACAAGCCGGATCTCGCCTGTTCGCCTCCCGTCGATTCTGACAGGACGGAATCCCTTTCTTTCCCCCGGAATGACATGCGGGGGAGGATCCCATTTCGCTCTTGCTTCCTTCTTGCTTCCTTCCTTCTCGCGAGTGGATGACCCTGTCACTCGGAGAGTTGTGGGCGAGCCTCCATTCATATTCAAGCAGACACTTTTATCGGGAGGCATCGAAAAAGCAGTGAAGTATGAAAAGTTATCTCTGCGGCGTAGCACCTTCATCGTCGCAGGAACAACATCGTGATGCCGAATGCCGTGGCTCAAGAGCTGCATTTCCTTTCCGTCTGTGCGAAGTTTCTGTTATATATCTGATGCCATGTGTCATTTCGTCCAGATTTTTGGAGCGATCGGTTGAGTAAATATGATTAATTTTTCAAAAGGGAAGCAACAGGAAATCATTGTATTTTTTTCATGTTGGCGATGATGCTGGCAACATTGAAAAGCAATTTGAAGAAGGCTGGGGAAGGATTATCGCCTCCATGGGTAAAAAACAAAGTCATGACTGGTCTTAGTTACTCTTTTGTAAAATTAGTCATACTTAATCGTCAATTTCAACCAATTGTGCTTCAAAATTCTGGGGGAAATGCATTACATTTGATACAAATCCGAAATTTCGCACATATCCATTAAAGCAGCCTGAATCACAGCGCTTTTCTCGTAATCGTGAAGGAACTGTGCAGTCCCTCTGTACATTTTCACACTTCGTACGCGTATAAATTAAATTTAAGTTTTATTGTATATTCCTTCTTTATTCCCTCATTTTCACCTCAATCTTCTTTTCTCATTATTCTGACAGTTGAACTAGTTCGATGTTGTAACATTCTAGCTATTGGGCTATATTGCTCTATTAATTCGAAATGATAAAACTTTCTAATAAAAAATATTAAATGTTAACATTTTCCAGCATTTTGAGTGACTCAATCCCATTTTGTAGGTAGGCCTGAAACGGAGTGATATCTCTTTGGGTGAATGCACCCACGCGGCTCTCGTCTCCTTGAGTGATCCCGTAAAGGCCAAAAAAAAACCGCATAATCTATTTTCGCTCGGAGGAACTAAATTCCAACATTGCAAAAACTCCCCCGAGGTTCGCTCACTCTCTCCAATGAATTATCTCGTTCGTTGCGTGTAGCAGCTACCATCAGATACAAATCACAGTTGAGGAAACGAAGAATAAGGAGGAAGTGAGATATGCTGTAAATCTGAAGCTCTTCGAATTTGATAAAATATTTTCTCTTGAAAGTTGGTAGGAAACTTCATCAATTATTATTAAAATAGAGGAGTGTGGAAAAAGTTGTTTCAGGTTCGAATGATTTATGTAGCTGAAGAACTTTAGCTGCTATGTCGGCCAGCTTGGTTTTTTCTTTTTGATTTCTCAAACTGAGTTTGGTGATCTTCTGTTATTGTAGGCTTCTGGTGTGCCTCGCGGCCGAGAGCCGCACCACTGAGGAAAAGGCAATACAGAAGACTTATAGCTAAGTACTCCGCACGATTTGACTGTAAAATCCACGAGGTGCCAGAAAAATTTTTAGCAAAGCCATAAAAGGGTAAACTGGAAAGCCGGCCGAGTTCCAGGAACGAGCACCTCAAGACGTCACAAAAACGACTCTTCCATGGGCTGTAGCATCAGAAAAAAACGAAAACTAGGGAAAACACAACCCGAAGAGGGACTGATATCAGTGTCCATGAGGAAAACTCTGGGCCTACATGACTCAGAGAGGTGCCCAACATTTCCGGCCTTCTCTCAGTCATATGGAAATGCATATAATTATCCAGACCCCCAATCTCCATATAACTGAATGGAGGAAGATGTTGAGGGAAGACGTTCGCCCAGGTTTGCCCCTGACATGTCTTGCAGAAACGTTGACAAGGCGGAAAAATCATGCTTTGTTTGTTATACGCTCGTGATTGGAGGAGGAAATGGTGAGAACCGATCACAGCGAGAAAACTTCAGGTTCTCTTTGACATCGTGGCGTCTTTGCGTCAAACATGGCGTCAATGTGATCTTACGTTCATGAAGAAGCGTTAATTTAAATATTTATAGGTTATGCTCAATGATGGTACAGCAGCGGCGTTGCGCCGAGGGGGCAAGGGGGCACGTGCCACCCACCCCCCTCTCTCCACACACACATTTTTCAAGAAAAGAAGCCAAAAAAAAAACAAGAAAAGGCCCAAAATGCATAACAGTATCCCAGAGTTCCCTTGTCCCTCCACTTTGTCCTGTGCCTCTTCCCCCCCCCCCCCCTCCCCACTTTTCCATCCAAGCTACGCTTATGCTGAAAGCGAAGAAACTCTTGAAGCAGAAGATCTTGCGCAATGCGAAGAGACTTCCCCCCCCCCCCCCCCCCCCCCCCCATCCCCCTTTTCCAACCACGCTGCGCTTATGGGTACAGGTCTAATGTCGCTTTCGGCTCGATTACTCGTTGGTGAGCGAATTCTCACGTGTTACCCACAAGTAACCCGAACCATGATTTGGTGACTACATGTTGTATAGGAGGGATGAGACTTGAACATAACGATTTAGAACTGTCACTTTTTTGTAACAGTCTCGGGATTTTTCACATCATCAGGACCACTTCCGGTGTGCTTAAATTATTTGCGAGACCGGTCTGTAGATATTATTTTCATGCTATTAGACCAAATGTCTCGTGCAATCCCGCAACAGGACTTTTCAGGAAGTTTGAAGACGTGACAAATTGCTCACGTCATAGCAGAGGGACAGAGGCCTACACAGTGTCAATTAATTGAGCTATGTTAAATGAAAATTTGAAACAAATTAAGGGCTAACAAGAAATGGGAGAATGATTGTCATGGTCTTGTATTTATTCCTGTTAGCCAAATGTGGAGACCATGCAACATGAAACGTCCTGATCCCCAAAATCATCATTTCAGTATGAAGCATGTCCTATCGCCTAGCGAGGTATGAAGACGATGATTACCTGCTCATATATTATTTTGGAATGAGCAATAAGAAAACCCGGTCTGAACGTGGAAGTTTTGTTTTGGTCGGGTCAGATTGGCTCCAAAGTAAGATTGGCAATCTCATTGAGTCGGAAGCTGGCCAGGATTCGGAGCCGGGCCGCTCGGGCCCGGTTCCTAAAAGCTAGCCCGCTCATCATTCTACTATGGAGTAATGTCACATGCCGACATCGCCCTAAGCACTTGCATCATCCTCTTCGGTGTGAGATTTCATATTCCTTGATAAGTACTGATAACATGAAGCCAACATCTGCCGTAGTAGCTGATGAAATGTTCCCAGAAGGAGCCGGACCTTACATGGATTTGGAGGAGGTGCGTGGTGAAACATCCATAGGCCTATCATAGGCCTGCGAGACTCAGGCTAGGCTTAAACTTACAGCATGGAGCCCATCTAGCCAGCAGCTAGGCCGGAATTTACCATCGTGACCTTTCAAGATCTTGAATTAGCCTAAGCCCCCTCAAAATAGGCTCCGGGGATTGATCAAAATGAAGTAATGACCTAGGCCTAGGCTCATCCTAGAAACTGCTTGGGTTGAAGTCTGCCATTGTTCTGCTACTTGATGATTGATGTTTGTGTTTCATAGGCTGGTGGATCTACTGGGCTTTTGATGGACTTAACTGCAAATGAAAAGGCTGTTCATGCAGATTTTTTCAACGGTAAGGTTTTTTAAAGTTATTATCACTTACACTCTAGCACATTCTAAGTAGAAATGCTTTCACTGTTGGTGGCTCGAGTGTTGGAGCCATTCGCCTTCAGTACACAATGCCTTAAATGTTTGCACCTCTAGCCCTGGACATCTTGGAGCATGTTTGACATGATGGTGTCACATGTGAAATCTCTCATAGGTGTACAAGTGTGTGATGGTGGTGATCATAGAGTACAGGTTTTACAAGACTCCATGGGGAAAAATCCAAAGCAGATTTAGAAAGTTTACATTTACATATGACACCATCACTCCAGCTATATTTCAAATTTCTTCTGAACCAGATTTCCAGCTGGACTCCAGCTGTAAATTCAGACCCATTCCAACTGGGTTACAGCTGGAAAGTACTAATCTCCAGATTTGTTCTTAATTGCTATATCACTTGCTAAATTAGAATCTTTTTGTTGACTATTTTTTTCAGAGGTTCATCAACAAGAACAGCTGATTTTCAACTTTAAATTTAGCTACATTCCTGGTGTAGGGTCCTCTTTATAAAATTTCAACTGGAATATTTCCAGCTAAGAAATAACTGGTACCTACTATTTTCCAGCTCTGCCAACTGGAAATGGTTCGAATTTACAGATTTGGTCCAGCTGGAATATTTCAGTTGTGTTTTTAAACTGGGATTGCAGAAATGCTAAGGGTTAACAGTAGGGGCAGTATCTGTTTTCCTAAAGTCATTTCTCTGTAAGTCAATACATTTACCCATCTGTTCAGTGACTTCAATGATGTCCTATGGCCTAAGCTGGATATAACTTTAGTCAGCTTAGGTTTAATCAAGAACCTGTTTAAAATATTTGATAACCTGTGAATGAACTTTGTTCCACTTCAAGAACCATTTTTTATTTTTATTTTGCAGACTTTGAGGATCTGTTTGATGACGAAGATCTTCAGTAAAGCATTGTTGAGTTGAACTCTTCTGGCGATATTTGGACATCTGTGCCTTGTAGTTAATATTGGACTTGAGTTGAAAATGAAGGTAGATCGAATTGCAGAGTTCAAATCCATTGGATTAAGTGAAGTGAAGGCAAAAGAAACTGCAAAGAATGAAGCACTAAGTGGGAATCTTCTGGAAGTTATAAGTACAGCCAGAGAAGTCCTTCAAGGAAAAGAATTTTCAAAAAATGTGGGAACACTTCTTTATCATGTGGCTTCCAAGACAAAGCCCCAGATTCGGAGCCATCTTCCACTTCTTGCAAAGTGAGCTTGTTTTTTATAATAGAAGAGGAAACAGCTAGCAAATGCTTATGATGCTTCTGCTGATCTCCTCTCAAATAGATATATAGCAGAAGAAAAGATTGACACGGAGACCCGTCTGGCAGGAGCCCTGGATTTTCTCATGCATGAAGCCCCAAAGGGAGAGAAAGTGGATGAAGATGCATTGTGTAAGGCATCTGGTGTGGGAATTAATGTCACCCCAGAGGAGATTGAGTCCACCATTGAGAAGATAATTGACAAGTACAGGGAACAACTCCTAGCTGATAGGTAAGAATGATTTAATTGGACACCAATTTTCTATCATGGATCAGGTGCACAGAATTTTCCAGACTGAGACTGGCTGGGGTTGTTTCAGGTACTCTTTCAATGTTGGGAAATTGCTTGCTGAGGCTCGGCAGGATCTGAAGTGGGCAGATGGAAAACTGGTGAAGAATGAATTGGATGTGCAGATCCTTGATCTCTTGGGGCCAAAATCAGATGCAGATATGGTGAAGAAACCTATCTCCAAGAAACAGGTCTTTTGAAATAATTATTCCTCTCTTCAACCTTGAGTCCTAGTGTAACTATGAATTTGAGTACATTAAAGGGAAATGAGGTTTCCTGTAATGCTTCTTTAGAGATGTAATGCTTCTTTAGAGAATAAAAAATCCTGCTTGATGACTGATAGACCTATGATATAATGAACCTATGAGGTTGATAGACCTATGAGATGACAGCACCATGTTTCCAGTGATGTGTTCTTTTATTTTAAATCATAATTCTGAGTGGAGGAACATTTTTGGCTTCCCAGTTGATTAAAGCTAAATGTTGGACAGATTGCTGCAGGGCCTCTAAGACTCACCTGTGAAGCACTTGAGTGGGCCTGCATAATTTTTATCGTTAGGTCAACACCATCAGCAGAAAAGCAGCTTTCCTCTTGATCTCTAGTGTATCATTATGCTTTTTGAAATGGGCCTCTCAGCTTCCAAGGGAGGGATGCTCTTTTGAAAGTTTATACACAACCTGAAATTCTTTTGATGTTCTCCAACAGACAGGAAAAGGAGAGAAAATCTCAGATGGGAAGGCAGTTAATGGAAGTGGCGATTCAAAGAAGCATCCTGTTGATGATGTAAATGGAGATGAAAGTGGAGATGGTGCAGCAACCATCCAGGAACTTATGAAGAACAAAGTTCATTTCCACAAAGTTGGTGAGAACTATAAGACAGACAGCTATGTTGTGACTCCACAGACGATGGAACTTCTCAAGGAACATCTCTCCATCACAGGAAGGAAGGTAATTTTTGCACCAGATATTGTTAATTTGCCATGTAAACATGGTCAGGTGGGGATGATAACATAAGAGTTAATTGAAGGAGAAAATCAGAGAAAGGGCAATGAAAACAATAAGTTTAGTCCAAGCATGCAAATGAGGTCTCAGGCAACTTGGGTGAGTGGTCAGAGAAGCTAGGACAGCTCAAGGCATGGTATTGGTTAAGAACAGTATCACAGAAAAGCACTTGCATGAAGCAGTTAGGATGGGGAAGAGGCCAGAGTACTAACCAATAAATTGACAAAACTGGACCATACATCGATTCTGCAAAGCAACCGTTTTCACCACTTTTTTCCCTTTCGAAAATAAATAAAAACATCTGCTGAGCCATAAACATCTATCGCTTTCCATTTTTCCAGAACCATTTAAAGAAAAAAAGGTAAATTTTTATTGCACAAATTGACTACTGGATCGGGTTGCTTTCTAGGGTTGGCACTATGCATTGAGGAATCCTTGTCACAATTGATGGGTCTGGGATCACGGTTCCTCCTATATGATTGACTCTAGGCTTATGTAGTCGCTTATGGTCTCAAAAATGCCCTTCCAACAAATATCGTTATCGTCATTTCAATACCAGGTCTACCACCGGTTTGTGATAGGCGTAGCCCGCCTAGTCCTTGTCAAGCAAAGATGGATACACAAAGACCCGTTGAGGTCGGCCTACGTTCAAGGGAACGGGAGAAGGGGAGGGGAAAGAGTAGCTTGGCGTTGGTCTAAGGTTGACATAAGACCTTAGTATAAACCTACACTTGAAATTAGGTTGTACCAACTATGATAATGGGACCGTTAGATTTGGCGTACACCGTTTTCGGATTGAATTCGTACCTTCNTTAAACCTACACTCAAAATTAGGTTGTGCCAACTATGATAATGGGACCGTTAGATTTGGCGTACACCGTTTTCAGATTGAAGCAGAGAATGTAGAAAACACAATTTCCAGAAAGTTCTGCTACGTCAGATGATAATAATGGCCACCTAAGATCTCTCTCATCCAGAGCTTTCGATTATACTGCTTCCTGCAGTGGGCAATTGTAGAGGAGCAGGAGTAAGAGCGCTCGTCTCACGTACGCTGCCATCTTCATTCCAGCATCGAACTAAGATTGATGCAATCTCATTGTCTGCTCACGTTTACCATTGGTTCTCCGTAAGTGAGCGCCGGATAATGTGAACGAGAATCTACGCCGCACCTTCGGCGAGGCCTCGCTTGAAGGACAATGTGAATGGGCCTTAAGGGTCGCTCATGTTGGAGGAGGGGAACTGCCGAGGGGGAGAGATCTGGGGGGGGGGGGGGAGAGCAACGAAAGAAAGAGGGAAGAAAGGTCTTCACAGGTGACAAACTTGTCTACCAAATTTTTTTTCTATTTCTTTGCCTCCCCCTCATTCTGGGAACGTGTGTGTGTGTGGGGGGGGGGGGGGGGAAATTTTGCAGACAGTCAGCAATACTGCTGTTGTCACTAATGGTGATGAACAGAGTAGGAAGAAGCTCTTCCATGAGTAAGTTCCCAGAATGAGGTAGCAAAAGGTACTTGAGCCTCTATACATGTTCTTTCCAAGATATTCCTTGAGAAGGAGTGAGTTGAGGATGTATGTGGTTGCAAAAAATAAAAAAAAAGTAATTGTTTTGTCATTTAGGGCATCGAAACTGGTTTCTTGTTGCAATAAGTTGAAGACTAACAGGTTTTTAATGGGCCAGATGCGATAATAAAAAAATAAAGATTTATTAGAAACCAGCGTTATGTAAAGTAAGAAGCAAATGGAAAAATAGAAATCAGAAATTGGATGAATTCAGGTTAATATTGAAATCGTGTGATGTGGGGTCTGCCTGACTCCTTTGAGACTTTCTTTTCGATTTTTGTGATTTTTTAAAATGGTGTTCTAGAGCAGCGGTGCGCAAACTGGGTGGCGCGAAGAGTGCTGTGGAGGGGCGCCAACGTTGACCTTTATTTTACCTTTTTTTTTAGAATTAGGGAGTTTTAGGGATCTAAATTAACTGAAAAGGGAAAACAATGAAGAAAAGCACTGCAAATCTAGGAAATTCCAAAGAAAAATCGATCAACTATTCAAATTGATTCAAATTCAATTTGAATTCACTATTCAAATAAGATTTATGAGAACAATCATCATGTTACGTGAGAATTTAATTTTAATACAATATGCCTGATTTCAACTTGCAGTGTTGTGAGCAAATCACTAATTACATTATTAAAGTATTAAATTATTATGAAAATTTCAAAATTATTGATAGCAAGTGTGCTGGTCCATGCTATTGTTAATAGCTATAAAGATAGGGCTGTTGCGATAGGTCAATGCATCGATACCAATATCTGTCACTATTCAAGGTATCGATTGTTTCTTCGACCATCGCAATGCACCGACAACACTTTTGAAGTATGCATCCCATTTTTAAATCCCATTTGATTGAGACGAGTACAATACAATCAAGTCCGTCCGGGTGGCGAAAGGAAGAAGCGGCGGTGACCCGCATGGGCTTGTAATTACTTATCACGATCAAATTCTGGAAATGCGGGGACTGACAATATGAAAGACGACAATATGAAGAAGAAATTCGGATTCGGATTCGGAGACAGGGGAAGGAGATTTTGTCTTCGGCCCGATCTCATCGGGCGCATGCTGTGAAAGTGGACTGTTCATTTACTCCCTTCCTTTCCAAACGTACATAGGTTCATCCCCCCTCTCTATACTCCTGCCTTTCTCTTTAGTATGCAAGCTTAAGTCATGCAGTGTTTTTTTTTTTTAACTTGCCATGGGGCATTCTGCCTCTTTACTGAAGGTGAGCCCAAAGTTAATTTTTTACTTGACATCGCTTGAAATTAGGGTTGTATCGATGTTACGGCAACCGCTGGTAAGGCACCATCGACAGGTTCGCCATTGTCCAAAGAAACGAGGGTTTCTTTGGACAATGGTACCGACAATGGCAAAGAAAAAGAGAAAAAAAAAACTACGTGAATGGGCTTGGCACTGATTCTTTACGGCAACAATAAAAAACTAGGGATGGATCCATCGAGAAATGGAAGTTATTTTCGATAGTTGGAGGCATGGTAGGCTTCATTACTTATTGCGAAGGTCACACCTTCCCCCCGATCACAAGCGTGTGATTATGGAAGACGGATAGAGTTCCACGCCCCGATCGAGACCAGAAACATGACGAGAAATTTTTCAATCCTCCACCAGCCCCCACTCCCCCCGGGTGCATCAATGCCTAGAAACAGCCATCCTGACAACCCTAATATAAATAATTTTTTAAATAACCTTAAATAAGAAAATAAGAAAAAACATAAGTTGCATACTTTGACAGGTATTTTGAACTTGATATGCAAAAAAGTGTTTAAATTGCACAATCAAAAGGAAGGATGTTCAATTATTACCAAAAATCTATTCATTCGTGTTACCTTCCTCATGCCTACTTACCAGAAATTACAGTTTCTGATGAACGGGACTGGTGGAGGGGGGGAAGGAGAGGGGATAGGGGGGCGCGACCGAATATACGGATGAAAAGGGGAGCGCGACCTGAAAATTTTGCGCACCCCTGTTCCAGAGCATTGCTCATGAAATGTTTTTAGTTTCATTTCATATGCTTTTCTTCGACTGTTGGCGATTGTGCCCTCGAGCAGAACTGTTTTGATCGTCTCAGAGAAGTTAGTGAATGTTAATCCCCTTTTCTCAGCTCACAGATTCTGTAATAATTAACATTAAGGGTAATAATTTCAGGCTAATTCATTTATTGGTAGTCGACGTAAAGTATCCTGTTATCTGACCGTTCAGGGATAACTCTCAATGAGAACTTCTAGCAAGGGACCGAAGTTGGCCCTTCCCCTGTTGCTTCGGTTATATGTTTCCCTTTACAAATGACTTGTGTCGAAGGATAAGGGAAAGATATCCATCTCCCGACGATTTCTTGAGAGCCCAGATGAGACCTCGAGATTGGGACAGGAAGTAACCAGACCTTACGTGGAAAATAATGGCCTGCATGAGGAAGAGGGGAAGGTTAAAAGAATGGAAGATGGGCAGAGTGATTGAGAGCTCAATTTCCCCTGCGATTCCGCGATACGGGGGCGAGACGGTAGCGGAAATCTTTCGGGAGGCGGACCGAAACTAATCGAGAGTACATCCGGATATCGACAGTAAGAGCTAACAAGAAAGAGACAAGGGCTTCGGGAGCCGAAACAGGAATTTAAACAAATACAAAACAAAAGCTAGTCGGAATTTCTAGTTCTCCCTCTATATGGGATATGCAAAACAAAAAGAAAATAACCAGGACGCGATCACGGATCATTGGAGAGAGAAAAAAAGGGCCAAGGGCCCCACGTGCTTTTTTTCCCCCTATCATACGCCTGAGAGATACCTGGAGTTAGGTTTGTCAGCGACTGAGGAGGATGTGTCATCCGTCAATCTTAACAATTTTAGTAACCGGTTCGAAAATACCCGTTGGTTTAGGGAGCGAGGGGCAAGTAAAATCTTCTTGGAGCGGCGGCAATGGGAAACAATTTGTTTTTCACTTAAGCATAGGATACTGACGCATCCTTCTTACCGTGTGTTTGGATTGCCAAAGTGTATCTCCGTGATAGTATATGGCAGCGTACGACTCATGAACGAAAATTTAAAAAGAAGCAAGATGTTTCCCACGCGGCGGAGTGTCTTATGGTTCGGAGTGTTAGAGGTGCCTCCGTTCGAATCGGGAGGATTCTGACCTTGCCCCTCCGGCCTGTGAGTTTGACTCCGTTCGCGGAAGGGAAGTGAGACAAAAGTTCTTCGTTGGGACGTGTGACTCCACTATTCGTTGAACCAAGCAGGAAGGGAGATTACTGAATCGTGCATGGTGGTATGGAAGTGGTCCGTAACCACAGGGTGGGAGGAGCACAAGACGTACAAACCTCGAAATTAGAGGCCCCTAGGCCAATAAGAAACACGAGGCACTTTAAAGCATTGCAGAATCCATCTTGTACTTGAGGTAAAGAAAAATTAATGAATATTGCTAAGTGTCCGTTTGTAGGAGCACTAGTAAGCTGGTGGTAAAGTACCAGTAAACAGGGGATAATATACTGGTAATTACCAGTAATACCCTCTACCAGTAATTTCACATCCATAGCTGTTAATGTGCTGAAATTTGGCGAAATTGATTTTCACCACCAATATAAAAATTAATTTATTAGGTGATATTCGATGTGACAGGCAATTTTGTATACCTCTTATTGAAGTGGTAGTGCGACTTTTTATTGAAGGAACTCTTTTCATTGTTTTTTTGGCAGGTTCGTACACGTTTCCCGCCTGAGCCCAATGGGATTCTGCACATTGGTCATGTCAAGGCCATAAACATAGATTTTGGTTATGCTGAAGCACATGGAGGAGTCTGCTTCCTGCGTTATGATGACACCAATCCAGAAAAGGAGGAGGAGAAGTTCTTCACTGCCATCCAGGATATGGTTGAGTGGCTTGGATACAAGCCATACAAGTAAGTAATGTTAGTTTATTATTGAAAACTTTGGACAGGGAGTTTATACAGGAGTTGTTTTTCCCATTGGCAGGATCACTCACTCTTCTGATTACTTTGATCAGCTGTATGAATGGGCAGAAAAGCTGATTGGGAAGGGCCTAGCATATGTGTGTCATCAGCGACCAGAGGACCTGAAGGGCTTCAATCCTCCTCCCTCTCCATGGAGAGATCGTCCCATTCATGAGAATCTCTCCCTCTTCCGTGCGATGAAGAATGGCTACTTTGATGAGGGGGAGGCCACACTTCGCATGAAGGTTCTCTCCATTCTTCCAATAAGAAAATAATTTGCATTCTTTTGGTGGCCTTGCTTTAGATAATAGGTTACATGCACCAAATTTGTTTAACTTTAAACTGATTTTCATAATGGGCATCTATGGGAATAAGTTTATCTCTGTTAAACTGATTCTCACAGGAGACCATTGTGAGATCAGATTAGTTTAGCTTAAATATATCTGGTGCATGTCACCCAATGTTGATCATTGCCAAGCCATAAGTTTTACCTGTGTAAATTGTTACTTTTTTTGGTTGAAAAGATTGTTATCAATTGAGTTTAGCATCTATGTATCTATTTGTCTGTCTAAGACCTTCTCCCACTATTGGAAGTTGATCACTGATTTTCAGCATGAGCATTGATCTTTGCTTTACCTTGGGACATGAATTTCATAGTTTAAGTCATAGCAGACTACATTGCAGGCATGAGTGGAGTCAACCCATAAAAATGTAATGAGGAAACAGACCTTTTGTGGAGATGAGGGAAAGGGTCTTGGGAGCTGGATTAGCCATTTGTAGTGTGTAGAGATGATGCATATTTCCTGTTTCACATCTATTGATTGTCTGTGTCTTGCTTCTTGGGGCTATCAATTTTTGGTCATAGTGTAGACAGAGAGAGACACTTATTTGACTTTGAAAGTTCATGAGGGTGGAAGACATTGAAATCCCAACATACTGAGTAGTGTGAACAGATGGATTATTTCCCTCACTGAATGAAATGAATCCATTTGCTGAACCAATCTGAATTGAACCAATAAATCTAGTGCCTTGTTCATTTAATTCATTGAACTGTACAGCTACTAGGTGCACCTACTGTCATTTGTTATAGAGATATGCATACATGTCATGTTAAATGGAAATGCATTGTTGCTTACTTTACAACTGTTGTAATATCCCCTTTGATATCATTCTCCAGGTGACCCTAGAAGAAGGGAAGCAGGATCCTGTAGCATATCGCATCAAATACATCTCCCACCATCGAACTGGAGACAAGTGGTGCATCTATCCAACTTATGACTATACTCACTGTCTCTGTGATTCTATTGAGCACATCACTCATTCTCTCTGCACCAAGGTGGGTTCATTCTCAATTGGCTGTCTGGAGAAATATGGGAGATATGTACTGCATTAAAAATGCACTGGGATTTTTGCATATATATCTAACTTCCAGATAAGGCAGAAGCATATGAGTCAAATTATATAAACATCTGTCTTTCCTCTCACCTCTCATCTCCATGAAAACTATAAATTTGTAGCTACCAGAGTACACTGACAGTAGCTGCTTGACTAGGATGCAAAAAATGTTCATATTATGCCTCACCCTATTGTGTAGATGTGCAATGTGTCCTCCTTTGGTGTTGCATATGACACATACTCTCACTTTTCAAGTGATGGACTTGCAGATCTCATTCCAGGCCTGTTGAATGTTGCCTCTCTGTTTGGCAATGGAGTGACCCATCTTGGATCACTCTACTCACCAGCTAGATTTTGGTGCCAGGAAAGATGTCAGCTTGATATCATTCTGTGCTTGTGGAGATAGCCTCCTCTAATGAACTGTGTGTGGTATGAAACATTTCAAGGTGTCTTAGATGAACAGCCACTGTGAGCTAGGAAGCTAGAAATGTATATTTTTCACAGAGCTAAAGGAAAGATAGAAGTATACATTGATATGATTTGTATGCCTCTGCCCCTTCTGGGAGTTGAAAAATAATTTCAAAAATCTCTGTGACTTATGTACCATTCAGTGCATATGTACACAAATTGTGTAGCAAATAAGTTATCCTATAGTGTTGCTCTCAGCTGAAAGAGAGAGGGTTTATTCAAAGTTTTGGGAAAATAGTTACTTGAACTCATTTCCCTATATTTATTTTAGATTGATCAGTATTTGGTTTTGTGATATACTTTGAATTATTTTCTGAGCAGTCAAGTTGGATGTTTATTATTTTTCAGTTTCTGAAGCTTGCACATCCTATTTAAATATTATTTTTCCTTCAAACTTAGCATATGGAATGAATTAAGTAGGTATTGGTCATTTGTATAGATTTTTCAATATCAGTTTATTGGCATGTCAGATATTGGGCAGAATTCAATATTGTTGTCTGTAACATGTGAAGACATCTTGATTTTAACCATTTGTGGTCAAATTTTTCATAATGCCACGACTGATGGCACATGCCACATCCAGTATGGCAAAGGACCACTAAGGGCTAATAGCATGGATGTTACCCTACTCATTTGATGAAAAGCTCCATGTAATTCTAAGGATGAAGACCAAACAGTTCAGATTTCCAGTTTTATTCCTTTGTCATTATTTGTTCATTGCCTACACTTTCTGAACAAATGTCATTAGATTAAGCTCAGTTCTCTTTCTTGACTGAGGAGACTCTGCTGCAACAAAGGGTTGCCATATGTTAAAAACACTGACATTCTTGTTAAAAATCTGAATTGAAAGCCATCAAGATTGATACCTTATAGACTCTAGTTAGCTGTACTGTCTGCCTTTGAGCTGATGGTTTTGGAAGACAACTTTTCAGTGTATCGTCTTACTTCTTTCTTTTTGTTGGCAGGAGTTCCAGTCCCGTCGCTCATCCTACTACTGGCTTTGCAATGCCCTTGACATTTACTGTCCAGTGCAGTGGGAATATGGGAGGTTGAACCTGAATTATACATTGGTGTCCAAGAGGAAGATAGCCAAGCTCATCACAGAGGGGATAGTGAAGGATTGGGATGACCCAAGGCTGTTCACCCTCACTGCTCTCCGCCGCCGAGGATTTCCTCCTCAGGCCCTCAATAACTTTGTTGCTCGGCTTGGGGTCACAGGTCAGATTTCTCAAGACTTATTGAGTTTTTGTTAGAATTTTAACTTGAAGGAAACTGCTCAGCTGTTCACCATAGTTTGTTACTCTATCTTTGGCTTTCATCTGTCAAGGCTTCATCAAGTCATGTATATATACTTACAACCTGCTTTCATTTGAATCTCAGGAGCCTTGGCAAGTGTGGATCCATCTCTATTGGAAGCTTGTGTGAGGGATGAATTGAATGCAACTGCACCTCGGACTATGGTGGTTCTTGAACCATTGGAGGTTACTATGAAGGATATTCCATCAATGCCAGACTCACTCAGCATCCCTGACTTCCCCTCTGACATCAACAAGGGAACCCATAGCATTGCCTTCAAAAAAGTCAGTTGTAGATCTTGCTGTCAACTTCTTATTGAGACAATGATGTAAAATGATTTTGCTGTGGATGAGTTCATTTTTTTAGGAGTACCATGAAAGCTGATATCCTTTACAAAGATATCCTGAACTTGGAGAGAGTTCTTAGAGAACATGTTTACTTGGATAAGAGGATTAGAAATGGTTGTGGGTGTGCTGGTGGCAGGATTGACCATGAACCCATGGTCAATCCTATCCTTTATACCAATTGGCTGGTGTATAGGTTAATGCAAGTAGATAGATAAAGCCATGCAAATCAGATACTAATTAATGTTTCACTCGATGTGTTTGACCTTCTCTTGGACTGATTGGGAAGGCTGGAAACAGGTATGTATTTTCTTGGGAGAAAGATCTGAGAAGATTTCTGATGCCATCAATTGACTATCTTTTCTACAGAGAAAAATCATTAATGTGCAATTATCAATTTCTTCCCTGGGAAAGTTGGAGACACATAAATATATGTTAGGTTGAAAAAGAGATGAGAAGTCTGGCAGCATTCCTGATGCCATCACTTGCCTAGGATCTTTATCACAGTAAGACACCAAACCTTGTATAGGGTCAAACCATCTAATTTCAAACAGTACCTAAGCTTGGACACCATAAAATAAATTGTTATTAAAGAAAGCATTTGCAAGATTGCCCTCAGAAACAGCTCTTCCAAGCTGTGAAGAATTGTTTCTGAGGGAGAGCGCATAAATGCTTGGTTTTGTAATGATGTATGTGATAGTGTCCAAACTTAGATGGTTTTACCCTATCTACCCTTAATACAGTTGACTCTGCATAATGGAATACCGCTTAATGGAATACTCCACTTATTGGAATAACATTGTATGGTCCCAATGTACAGGGTGACCCAAAAGTCTGGACAAATAGGCGAAAATGTAGTAATTTTATTCAATAACATTTTTAACATGGCGCCCATCATTAGCGATGCAAAGTTCAATGCGCTTTGCGAGATTCACATGAGCACGATGAAGTAACTCCGTATTTCCGTCGATCTTAGCACGTTCATTGATGATGCGTTCCTTCAGATGATTAATATCTGTGATTTTCATTGTGTACACCTTTTCCTTCAGCATACCCCAGAAGAAGAAATCAAGGGGACTAATATCTGGCGAGTGGGGAGCCCACTCCACACGGCCACGTCTCCCAATCCAGTTAGGAAAATTGTCGTCCAGCCAGTGTCTTACCACCGTGGCGTAATGGGTAGGGGCCCCATCCTGTTGGAACCACTCAGGGAGGCCTTCACTTAACCCGTCTAGTTGGGGCATCAACTGGTCGCGTAACATGGCGAGGTATATCTCACCAGTTACGCTACGATCAAAGAAAAACGGTCCCAACACATGTGCTTTCCACAAGCCACACCACACCATAATCCTCTCCGCTCCTTGCTGTTTTGGAAGGGTCCATCCAATGTGGATTGTTTTGCGACCAGTACCGAACATTCTGTTGGTTGACCTCACCGTTTACGTGAAACAAAGCTTCGTCGCTGAACAACACACAGTCTTCTGTGAAGCAGTTGTTTTCATCCAACTGATTAGAGAGCCATTCACACATCTCCAATCGTCTGTCAGGGTCGTCCTCGGTTAAGTTGTGCAAGATTTGTAACTTATACAGATGAAAGTTCTCGGCTTTTAAAATCCTTCTGAGGGTTTCTCGAGGAATACCCAGTTCCAAGGATGTCCTGTAAATTGACTTTTTGGGGCTAGCTGTGACCTTAGCAATGACAACTTCCTTCGTTTCGTCGTCCAATACAGTTCGTCGTCCGGAACGGGGTTTGTCCAAGACACTGCCTGTTTCTTTGAATTTTCTAACCACCTTCCCCACTGTGCCAATAGAAATGGGAGTCCTTCTGGGATGACGTGCATTGAAATCATCTGCTATCTGTCGATATGACCACCCCTCACGTCCACTCAGCAGTACCAATTCAATAAGTTCTTCTTTCAACAAACTCATATTCAATCTGGGGAAAAAACAGAATATTAGTAATATTACCTATGTGTCCAGACTTTTGGGTCACCCTGTACAATACAATACAGCAAATGGTTTCGGTTATTGGAATACTCCGGATTATAGAATGAAGTTTGCAGGAGTATTCCAATATGCGGAGTCGACTGTGCTTCAATTTGATCCGGAAGGGCTGGAAGTGTTCTTTTTTTCTTAAGAGGCAGGTTATTGGGCATTGGTTGCATTTGAACATTCCTCCCTTTGGTTTTACCTTTAGGAGGACCTTAATTGACCCTTCTTTCTAAAAAAGCAAGGGGAAAAAAGCAAGAGGTCATTATTGATCTGTTACATCAATGATAGTGTGCTCCCACTCTCATTGTTAATGATAATTATTAAAAAGTGCTGTGATGATTGATATACAGGCATCTATGTGCAAGATGTACAGGGTGTTCCATATGTCCTGTAACCCCTATGTGTTTCTTATGATGTATTAATTATGTTTCTCATGTGATGCAAAAGAACATGAGCATAGTTTATTTTGCTATACAGATTATGTTTAACATTTAGTATGTAATTAAATTGTCAATTTAACTGTCAATAGGGTCAGTGTGTGCACCATCATTTTCACAGCAGAGAATGATGCACTGCCAAGTTCTGTGTGACATCCTCCATAACATTACTGGAGTAACCTGGTGGATTGCATTTGTCACAGCCTCTTTTAGCACTTCAGGGCTGACCCTATTGGCAGTTAAATTGATATTGCAATTTCATGCTACATGCTATAACAGGGGTTGGGAACCTATGGCTCATGAGCAAAATTTGGCTCACGAACCAAAAAGTTTGACTCATTGAGTCATGGCTGAAAATTGTGGTTGGTCCTCATTTTTCTCATGTATCAAAGAATGTGTATGTCTGTTGCCAACTTCAGTAAAATATTATGTTGTTCTGAAAATCTTTCACTTGCAAGCACTTTGCTCTATCTTAATATGGCTCACATGACCAAAAAGGTTACTGACCCATGTGCTATAGGTAATCCATATAGCAAAATAAACTATGTTCATGCTCTGTTGTATGACATGAGGAACATAATTGCTATGTCATACCACACATAGAGGTTACAGGACATTTGAACTGATTGGATTGGTAGATTGAGTTCATTTTTGGGGGTAAAGAATGGATTTATTCTAAGAACACATTTTAATTTTGCATATTTCAAATGTGAAAATTGCTAATTGCAAAAAAGACCATCAGCCATGGCCTGCATGGCCCTCCTAACAATGCCTGGGTCAGGATGGCCAGCCATTTTATTCTGACCTTCCAGAGTTGCAGATCCATTTGTCCCAAGTGAGGAATGAAGTTGCACATGGACAATGGAAACAATGATGCTAGCTGAATTCATGAAATGGCATATCTGAAAATCCTACAGATCATTTTCTCTTTCCAAAAGTGAAACTGGTCTTCAATGAAAGGAGGTCCAGGACTAGACTTTACTTGCCCATGTTGGTATTTTTTTTCTTTCATGGTACATTGAAACCAGCAGCATGAAAACTTGCTGATGGTGCTATTTCATGGGTTGATGCTAATGGTTGCCTGTTTGTTAGTGCAAATTTAGAATTTACTTGATCTGAGAGTGACAATGAGAGATAAGAGACTTGTGGGACTTAATAAGAATTGGGGACAAGTTTTTGTTCATGAATAGCAAAGGTTCTGCTCAAATGCATGGAGAAAAGTGGTAATGCAGAATACAGCACGTTGACATGTAATTCTTCATTTTATGTGGAATGTAAATGTACCAAATGTGTTGGGACATTATCATGGTGACATCTTCAGGATGTTCCTTAGTGTTTATCATGTTTCAACTTCTGCAATAGCAGCTTGGAAATGGAAAACCAGATGAAGTGCATTGTGGGCTAATATAATGAGAATCATTAAGCATTTTTTTACTGTATCACTCTAACTCAAGACTATATTCTAAAAAGATGCATTGGAAGAAAACCCTGCCCATTCAGTGAAAATTCTCATGCAATAAGACATATGGCATGAAGCAGTTAATGGAGAATCCACTTTAGTGTGACCATGGACTGAGTGTGAATTTTTTAAGGTGTACATTCTTTCCATCATCACTGCTGGCTCAGCAGGCTCAGTCAGAATTATAAGTGTCATTATCCTATCTCATGAACACAATTGATGCGCTAAAATGGTGGTTAGGTCCTTTTGTTGATTAGTTTTGTTTAGGGTTCTCTCTCATAGGTATTTTATCATTGAATTAAAAAATCTCATATTAAGAAAGATCCTATAGCATTGAGGAATAGTCACTTTCAGTAGAAAGCTCTGATATCTCAAGATTGTTGTGAAAAGTTGAAAACATAATCTTATCATCATTCTTTATTCTTGGATGATTATACTGGAACCTCAAGAACATATTAGAAACCATGTTGTCCAAGCCCAGTTTCTAAGTAGTTTATGTTTAAGATGTGAAGCATTGAGGAATGCAAAAAGCTATTTTGAGGATATTACTGAAGGAAAGCAAATATCTCTCCTTTTGCCCTCTTCATTCAGTATCTTGAATTCAGGACCAGAGTGATGATTCCTTTCATTTCTTAATAGGTGATTTATATAGAGCGCTCAGATTTTAAGATGGAGGAGGAGAAAGGCTACCGTCGCCTCACTCCCTCTCAAGGTGTTGGTCTTCGACATGCCGGTCTTGTTATGTATTTCTCCCGTATCCTTTCGCAAGACAAGGAGGGCCGTGTGACTAAGATTGAGGTCACATGTAAGTCAGTTTCTGAAGTGAAGGAGAAACCCAAGGCCTTCATTCATTGGGTTGCAGCTCCCATCCCCATCCAAGTGCGACTCTATGAAAGTCTATTCTGCCATAAAAACCCCGAGGATCCTAATCAGGTATTCTGATCTCCCTCTGATTGTCTCTCTTCTACATCTTTAGCATAGTTGATAGCAAATTTAAAGCATTAGGCCTGCAGGAATTGTAAAGAAGAAAAGGCTGTTTCATGGTTCTGCACAGGACATCAAGACAAGTTTTGATCTGTAATATACTCATCGCCAAAAAAAAAGCGCGACGAAGAAGGAGTTGAGCCATCTTGATGAAATTTGGTACACAAGCTCATACTAGCATACTATTAAATTGATTTGAATTTCAAGCGTGTGGGATGAATATTAATGCAGAAAACATACAAATTAATCCAATTTCAATAACGGCTATGGGGTCATACTAATCGCCCGAAACGGTTACCTAGATGGTTTACACTGACAAAACATAGTAGGAAAATTCTTAAAGATGTACAGGAAAATCGAGCAAAGTTTCAAGATCATGAGATGAAGCAGTTCGGAGAAAACTTGCTAAATGCTGGAAGAATTGTGGAGAAGCCAGCGCCATTGAAGGCTCCAGTTTCCTTTTTTCCTTCCCTCAAGCCGCTTCCCTATAGCGCCGTTGTTAAGTGTCTGTACGGTGTTTCATCCATGTAGCGTAACTGGGATTTTTTTTTACCCTGCATCAACTTGGTGCGTGCATCAACATGATGCATGAAGCTGATACATGCATCACAATTGCTCTCCAAATCCCAAATAGAATTGAGCATTTCATTAAGATTTGCCTAGCCCTCCATAGATTAGTAATTTTTTGCAAGAGCATCTTAAACTCCTGTCAAAAACAGCTTTATTGTTCTTTTTTAGCTTTGTCCTTGAAGACACTTCTTATCTTACCTCTTCATAAAGCTATTCATAGAATACCTGGTATTAGGTTGCACTGTCTCCTTTCTCAAATCATTTAGCCTTGAATTCTTTTTTTGCCTCTTTTTCTTTTTTTTTGCATAAAAGCAATAAAATTGTCATCCATTATCCAAGTCAATGTTTTTCTTAGAAGTTTCAGTGAAAATTTTTGCTGTAATTAGACTAATAATTAATTTCCATGATTATCAGTGAGTGTATAATGTCTGAATGGATCCCTTTTTTCATAAGTACCCCATGACTGAATTTATGGGTGAAATACGCATAAAAGTTTTTTAGAATGGTTAAAGTCGTCATCCATCCCATATTGCATTAAACATATATATGTGCCCACAGGTTCCTGGTGGGTTTCTCTCTGACTGCAATCCAGACACCTTTAAGGAAGTGGAAGCCAAGGGCGATGCTTACTTGCTGAGGAAAGCCAAAGTGTACGATAAATTCCAGTTTGAGAGGATTGGATTTTTCTCTGTGGATCCGGATTCCGTTCCAGGGGAGCAACTCGTCTTCAACCGTACTGTCTCCCTCAAAGAAGATACTGGCAAGAACTCTTGATTTTCTCTCAATCTTCCCTCGCTCTCGCTTTGAGGTTTGGGGTCATGTGTTGTGTCAAAAGAATAAATGCATTTATGGATGTGGGAAGGCTTAGCCTGGACTGATTTGATTGTTTAAACTGTTATCTGAGATAGTATGTGGCAGAATTGTATCAGGGATTTTAAACTGCAGTGTTTTTCACTGTAGATTTTAATACTGAGACACAGTCAAGGGTCCGTGAGAATTCATGCTTTGACTTCTTCCAGCGCTACGGCAATCACGGCAGTGAACTGCAGTTAGCAGATCTAGGCCTGGCGAAATGTACGAAGAAATGGCCTTAAAATGCATAATTGGCCATCGTTTGTGATCGTTGGTGCTTATCTCACATGTGACACCTACAGCATGGTCCCTCTCGTGAATGAGGTTGGCCTGATTGGTCTAGTCCTAGAATCAGCACGGAATGTGATGCTAAGAAACAAGAAAATTCAGAAGAGTGAACGTTCCTTCCGATAGTCCAAGAGGCTAAACATATGACGGTAAATGAATGTACGACACCAAGAGGCCTGCTAGATTGACTTAGAAAGCTTTGAGAATATTGCCTGGTGTATGTTTTATGAATTATTGAAATCTAAACTGGAAGTACCCATTTGTGAGTATGTAAGATAATAGTGTACCTATTCAAGTTAAGAATCCCTTTAAAACCTTACCTCTGTAAGCCGTATAAATATGCCCGCGCCAATCGTTCTCCCACAGTACAGTATGCGGCAAAAAAATGGTCACACTGATGTCCAGTTTTATCTCATCAAGAACTAAAACGAGAGATTTTACAAAAATGTATTAATATTAATTTTAATTAATAATAAATAGTCGATTTAACATCTAACAATATATTTTACTCGATATGGGCACCATCAGCCCTGATCACAACCTCCAAACAGCCTCTGAAGGCTGAGCACGTCTTGATGATGTAGTCCTCCTTCATGTTGGACCAGGTCTTCGTGATGGAGGACTTCAGGGCTGCCACAGATGAGTGGGGTTTGTTGCAGGCAGCCTCCTCTACAAACGCCCACACGCTGTAGTCCAGGGGATTAAGAGCTGGGGGGCCACATATCCTTGTCCCAGGACACAAAGTTGACCTCCAGCCACTTCTGGGTCTTCTTCGCAGTGTGGGCAGGGGCCCCGTCCTGCTGGAAGACATAGTTGGTGCCCGGGAGGTAGTCGGACTTGATCCAAGGCTTGACAGACTTTTTCAGGATGTCAACGTACACTTTAGTGTTGACATTGAGGCTGTTGGAGGCACGGTCGTTGCAAAAGAGCTTCTCATCTTGAAGAAAATCACTGGTTTGCTCTTTTTAAAGATCTGGAGGAGCTTCCGGCTTCTTGCTACTCTCTTGGCCTTGGATGTCTCATTTAGTCACTTTGACAATCCTCCTGACTGTCCTCTCGATCACGTTCGTTTCCTTGGCCATCCTCATGGAGCGGATGGGGTTACGCTGGATTTTCCCTTTTATTGTTTTGATCGTCGCCGGAGTCCTTGCTGAACGTGGCCTTCCACTTCCAGGCTTCCTCTTGACACTGCCCGTGGCCTTAAACTTGTTGTGGACATTGTACACAGTGACCCTGTGGATGTTCAGGGCCTTGGAGACCTCGGTGGTGGTCTTCCCAGCGTGAATTAAATTGACGATGGCCTCTCTTTTGGAATCCAAATTGTCACTAAATGCAAACAAATCTCAACATCTCGGAACTATCAATATTTATAAATAATCACCCAACCTCTACTTAAAAAAAAAATTATTGCGGCCCAGTTCCATTTCCAAGAATAGTTATAAATCTGAATACGAGTGCAGCCATTTTTTTTGCCGCATGCTGTTTAATATTTCGCCTCAATACCTGCTCAGTTTTCAGGCTGTATCGGCCGTAATATTGCTCTCAGAATGCTTGAGAGAAACATATAGGTACGTTTCGGTTCGGAGACGAACATTTTCTTCTAAAAATGTATTAAGGGGTTAAATAAATTTTCTATTTCCTCTTTAACGCCTTAAAAAAAAAGTTTCATAAAGCATTCCAGAAGTTCCAGAAGTCGCGCACCATATGTAATTTTTTTAAAACCATATGGAATATACTTTTTTGTTATAGATTGATTAATTATGGCATTAAATAAAGACAGACAAAATATCGAACCTATACTGTGATTAAATGTGATTAAACATTAGCTAAAGCCATTTTAAGTTATGTAATATAGTCTATGGTGCGCGACTTCTGGAACACCTTGTATATACTGAGCGGGTGGTGTGGACCCATCCCTCCTTCGTCGACCTTCTGATAGTCATGCGAGAGTCGTCATGTGTTACATGCTGAAATGATAATAATAATTAATAAATAAGAACTTTCTGCGATATGGAATTCGTCGCATTCGTGGCTCAAAATTATGAGAGATGAATGGGGGAAAATGGCTCTATTTGCTCAAGAAGCTCGGGGGAAGACTTTTTTTTTCTTTTGCCATGCCATATTAAAAAGAAGTCGTTATGATCGTGGTTTCTGTTCCCTTTTATTTATTCAATGTATCCGTTCGTTGGTTATACATTAAGAGAGCATACCTGAGGCCTGTTCCTTGCTTCTGCCAAATTTAGAAATAAAATGCCTACGCGCATATATTTTCCAAACCGCTTATCCCAACGGAATGTGGTCGCGGTTCGTGCGGGACCAGGAGCATCTTCCATTTTTCGCGATATTGGATTGGTTCTACGCCCCTCCTGTCCTTAGTGCATCGTGCTGAAAATACGCTTTGGCCAGTGGCAAGTCTTACCCAGTGGCAAACTTCGTCGTCGAACTTTGAACGGAGCGTGGCAGAACCTAACGCCATGCTGTTATTTTTCTCAAATTCCTCTGGCAGCCCGGCACCCTTAGCCCTTTCGGGCACGTACATCTAAATTTTGTCGTAATTCAGTTTCCTGGAAAACTTACATTAGAATATTAAATATACGAGTTTGATAGTAAAATCTTGGTCCCACTACCCAATAGGTCAATAGGTGGTTTCGTTCAGAGACGTCCATGACGTTAATTTTAAAAAGTTGAAATAGCGGTTTCACAGTGAAACCACCGGAATGGGTTAAGCCACCGGTTCTCAACCTTTTTCACCCACGGCACCCATTTTTGAACTAAGAGTGGGCGGCATCCCTGCACACTCCCATGGGCCGCCACAACCAAAACTGCAGGGGTGAATGGAAATTCTCGAGTCCAGGAGTTCAAATTTTCCAACTAAGGCACTTCAAGAAAATTCATTCAAAGGAGCCAATATTACCAATATTGCACTTCTGTGAGGTAGCTGTGCCTGCCTCTTGTTGCGAAGGAAATCTAGGCGAGGCTCAATTTTCGATGCTCGCATGCGGTAGTCATTTTCGATATTGAGACGGGACCTGAACTTGTTTTTCTCGTAAGCATCCAGTAGGAGAGGTTGATTCACACAGATATGTAGTTGCAAAAGGAATCAAAATCTTCATTGCAACAGCATACAGATCTTTGTACTCTTCCTTGATTGACAGTCAGATGTGAGGTAGTGACATGCACTGGAAGTGATTCCTCGACAGGGGTTCACCGCACAATTCTGGGAACTGCTCCTCAAGAATTGCGTCAGGAAAGGGGCATACAGGCACACAAATGCAAAATGGATCGGGAATGAAAGAAAACGGCTCGTTTATTCCGGTCTTGGAAGTAGAGCCTCAAATATATTTTTCGTGCCTTTCAAGTGAGCGGTTATGACAGGCTGCAGGAAAATCAGAGGTAAATTCTCAACCACCTCTTCAAGGAACTCGCTGAGTGTTGGAAACATATCCAGCTTTCCTTTTTCAACTTTTCCTGACCACAGCGTGAGTTATTTTTTATGAAGCCATCCACTTTGTCTTCCAGCACCAGAATGCTCTTATTCAATCCTTGCAAAGATGCATTCAGGGAGTTCAAGCGCTGACGGTGTTGTGCATTGCATCTGACTAAGAGGAATCGGCGTCTGATAGGAACATCGCTATTTCTCAGGATAATTCAAAAAGCCGGAGAAGAACCTTCCCTCGGGAAAGCCATCGCACTTCAGAATGAAGTCACAAGCTTCGGTGATTGGAGCCCATCTCGTCAAACAAAATGCCTGTTGTTTAATGGCTGGGCTTTGATGAAGTTCACAATGCAAACACACCCATTGAAAGTAATCTTGAGTGATGGCTGGCATACCTCGTGACGCCAGCACTTCCCTGTGAATCATGCAGTGCCCATTTCATGCCAGGAGCAACAGCACGAACTCGAGAAACTGATCCGCTGCGATACCCCGCATTCGCATGAGCTCCATAAAAAAGTGTGTACTTTACACTACACTACGGTCCTTCGGCTGTAAAAATTTCATCAACGGCATTGAAAAAAAATTTCCCTCTTGAATGAGCAGGAAGGGTCAAGAAGGCCAGGAATTCTTATTTCGTTCACTTTCCTGAAATATAACGGACAAACACCAGAAGTTGAACTTCAACATCCATCGACTCGTCAACCTGCAAGGCGAATAAATCACTTTGCCTGACTTCGGCAACGAGCTGTTCTTTCATGTCCTGTGCGTGGTCGCAAATTCTCCATTGCATCGTGTCATTCGACATTGGAATAGTTTTTAGTTCCTTTGCTAATGAGTCGCCAAACATGAGAGAAGAAACATCCTCCATGCATGGTAATAATAGTTCCTCTCCAATGGTATGTGACTCTCCCGCCTTTACGATGTAAAAATCAGTCGAAGTGGATGCTCTCTCGGGGCTTTCTCAGCAGCAGGGGTGAGCATGGCTCCGGTTCCTTCTTCAGGCCTTAGCGTTTCGGCCTTTTACTTTAAACCAAAGAAAAAAACAGAGGTTTCTCTTTTCGCTGGGGGTGCTTATTTTCATAATGTTGCCTCAATTTATTGGGAACCATGGACTCTAATGACAACTCTTCACCGCATGCCACATATTGCGTACGAGTCATGCCATCAACTTGTGCCACACAGAAGCCAAAGCAAATGT